AGGAAATACTCAGCAACCAGCGCAGCCTCAGACATAGCAAACGCCGAGCCAGGCATCACTAACCCGTCCAACATCAGCTCTTCGCAGCGCTGTCTCACAGCTTCTTGATTTTCAATGGACCCCAGGCAATGCGAGGTGCTGCGCCCCGTAAGCTCGCAACCACCCTGGTTGAGGAACAGTTCAAGATTCTCATCCGTAATTTCAATGTAATTCTTCTCAATCAAGCCCGTCAGACCAAAGAAAGCCAAGCATTTGCCTTGTACCATCTTCAGTCGCTCGTGCAGGCCCCAGAGAACGTTCATCACACCAGGGCTCTGTCTTGACAACAAAACGAACCCTACACGGAGCCCGTAGTTGATGGGTGGAGTGTATTTATCGTGTGCCACTTCGTGAAGATAGAATAAAGTACTGTTCGCCAAGTACGGATAGTGCATCAGCACCTGACGCTGGGTATAGGGGTCCTTGCACAAAACCTGTTTCATCGGCCTCGCCTTGCACTTTGGATCCAGGCAAAGTGGAGGCACGGGCGGCCGATGCGTCAGTCGTTCGCGTTGTAGAGCGCTGAGGAAGCCGAAGCTCTTGATTACCCGTCCCCCAAACTACACATTCACATACCTCGCACACACAAAAGTGGAAACTCAACCCTCCGACTCACAGCTTTGCCGTATGATGAAGAGTCAATCCCACACAAACAAAGAAGGAGACGTCCAGACTTGCTGTGGCATCGGCATCGGCTCTATTCGGTCTGGATAAAGAAAGCAGACCGACGAATGTATGTGGCTACAGCACAAGGGACAGACGCTGCCTTGTTCAGAAGATATCAAACTCACGCCAACATGGTAAATAGCCTCGGATTGATGCAGGAGCTCCTCCTTCGTCGGAATTGACACTGCATACGCGGGTTCGTCTGCCGTAGGCCCTTCAAACTGAATAGGCCCTGGTACCCGGTAGTAGTCGCCAAACTTCCAGTGCTCCCGAGCCTAAATGCGCAGTGCACAGTGCACAAAGCTGACACTGTACAACCAAGTGCGGCATGGGCTCTTCGTTCCAGACGAACTGAATAGCACCGGACTCTCAGACCATCACTATTGGGGTACGGTCTGAGTGGGTGCAGAATGATGCAATGTATAAGATGGCATACTGCCCCCAAACACCAGAGACGAAGCAATGCAGACTCAGTCTTGCATAGACGACGCAAATTTATCACAGGCCAAGCCGCGTACAGCCAACTGTGAAATCAATCCTTAGGTTGTTACTCCGCTATTTCTGCAGCAAAGGTACCTCGCAAAAAACTTTGAAGAGCGGTCCGTCAAGGTCCACTAAGGAACGCGTGATGGCGGGGAAAGCGACGCCTTTGGCGTCCTCCTTGACGCACATCATTGTCGTGAAAGGAACACCTGCAGTTAACAAACAGTCCGTTCACAGAGCATCAGGCCAGTCCGTTCGAAGAAAGATACCAGAAAACCTCGTAGTCCAGCCCCCAAACC